GTACTAAGTTTTTGAAAACTGGAAAATCTTTGTATTTTCATACATAAAGTACATGCTTCTTATCTTTTAAATCTCTTAAATTTATCTTTATCTTTTTCATTTTATACCTATTTATATAAAATTTTGCAATTCTCTTTCTAAAAAAATGTAATAATTAATGCTTTTTTGTAATTATAGAATAGAAGTAATATTAATTGTAAAACATAATTTAGAACACATCATACAAATTACAAAAGATCAAGTAAGTTCTGAAATAGTATCTTCGTTCAAATAAAAGAAAATGGAAAAAAAAAAATATATATATATAGAGGAAAATTATCAAAACTTCAAGAAATCTTGCAAATTTACACACAACTTTATCTGTTCCAAAACGCACTTTCTACTTCATCAAAACATGAGATAAAATTGAAAAGAAATCAGATACGAGATCGTTTGCTATTTTCACTCTTGATCAAGATATTTCCAAAAAGATTTCCCCGGCTGTTGTATTTTTATTTCTACCGAAATAAACATCTCTTGTGTACGTTTAAAGCAAGATTTCGTCAAATCAACGATTTCATATTTTAAAAGTCGAGTGCTTGCAGCCAAAATTGCTTCTTGTCGATACTCAGCGAATTCGCATGATTGAACACGGTTATAGAAGAAATAACTATCAATGTAAGATCAAAGGAAGTCTATTTTATCCTCTGATACGGTGATTCCGCCTTTGTAACCGCTATTAATAACAGATTCTTTGATGAATTTTCAGTCAATTCTTTGGCAAAAAAAAGTTGATAAAAATAATTCTAATTCTAAAAATATCTTATATTTAAAAAATGTATTTTCATGCTTCTTAAGACTTTTAAAGCATTTTTACGAAGTTTATTAAAGTTGTATAGTTTCTGCAAAAGTTATTAAAATTGAAAACTTATATTTTCTACGTAAAAATAAATGTTATATATATTATACATAAAATGTATTATATATAAAATGTTCAATAAAACTCAATCAATATTTATATTTAATAACACAATTTTAGTTATAACAAATATAGCGCCTATAATTCCCCATATGTGTAATTATGTAATTATTCTTTTCTTCTTTTTACTTCTTCAAAAATAATTTCATTAAAAATTTTCTCATTTTATCCTAATTATTTAAAAAAAAAACTTATTTTTTATTGAAATAATTTTTCATCTAAATCGCCATCAAACTTTTTGTATTATTCAAATATAGAAAAATATATGTAATTTTTTTTTATTTTGTTAAAAATACATGTAATACGTAACATAAAAGGCAAATCTCTTTTTCAGTTAAATTCGAATAATTGATATTATTGGAAGTTAATCAGAATTATAAAAATCTACATGAATTCGATTAAAAAATAGAATCTTCGATTAAAAAATACATGTCTATCAATAAATTATATATATAAATATATAAACTACGTTTTTTTCTTGTACTATATAACAGAGAAAAGAAATTTGAAATTAAATATTCTTTTTTTTATAACTACATTTAGTTATATTCTAAAATGATGGCTGAAAGTAATACTACAAAAGAGAGAATGCTATTACGAATGTCCCGAAAATGATGAGACAGAAAAGGAGCTTACAAAATGCGAGACAATAAGGAAGTCTTTTAATATTACTATCGATCAAGTACGTCATACTATAATACTTAAAAATCGTTATAAAATAAGAAATAAGAAATACAAATAGCATCAATAATTCCTCACACGTGTAGCTATTCTTCTTTCCTTTCTACCTCCTCACAAAACAATTCAATAATCGCCGTGCCACGATCGCAGAGTTATTTCTGAAGAACGGAAACGCTTTTACGGGGACAAGACTCGTTAAAAGTTGCATGGCTCGTTTGAAAATCTATCTCGTTCGCCTCAACGTTACACCGTTTTCTTCATCGTTTTTCTTTTTTTTTCGGGTCTTCAACGCTGCGCATAAAAATGCGAGATAAGCCCAACGCTGCGGGGTGCACGTTGGCTCAGCCGTCGGCGGAATTGCAAGTTTCAATTTGCAAGAGAAATGTAAGATGCAGCGTAGTGGTTGCATCAACATCATGCACCGATATCGTATGTTTAATGCAGCGCAGCCGCGGGGCCAGACAATAGTTTGTCGGCTTGTAAAACCGTCTTATGAATTTCTATTTATTTTGCGAATCGATGTGATATTAATTATAATTTTTTCGGTAAAAAGTAAAATGGTAAAAACGCGATATCTATATTCCTTCAATTGATGCTTGAAAATATCTCTTGTAAACCTTATAGTTCTTGTGCCAAAAAGACATCTTGAATTTCTAACGAACTTCTTTACAAGAGCAACTTCAAGAGTCACACGTTTTCTTGACATGGATTCGAAGAAAATTCAAAAAGATCACCAAAGCCTTTACGATATAACTAGATCAATATAACTTCTTAATTTTTAATAAATTTTAATGAAGATTTCATACTTTCTCAACATTAATATTACTTTCTAACGTTTAAAAAGAACTCGAAAATTGCAGGCATATATGACTTCAATTTTAAAATATTACAGTATAAATATGTCGTACTTTTTAAAGAACGGAGCTGACGTACAGTGAGTGCAAAAAGTATTCGTACAGAAAAAATATTTTTATAAAAAATTTTATTTTTAAAAAGTAAATATTATCCAGCGAGAAATGAGTCATTGAATTGATGTCAATATAAATATGATTTTAACATCAATTTGATGTCAATTTGACATTTTAATTTACGATTATTTCTTGTTGGATAATTAATAATTTATTTTTCATAAAGAATAAAATCGATTGTATGTTTCCTAAAATTATAATATACATCAAAAAGATTGTATTAATTATACAAAATATATCATCTGAAAAATAAGCGAAAATAAAAAATTGTATGAATTGTTTGAATGCTCAAAAAGTATTCATATACAGACGAGAAATTTAGCTTCTAAAATCAGGAATATATGCGAAGCTCGTTTGTTTATGTTAGAACAGAATGTATTCATTGTATAAAATTACTAATTAATGTTTGTAATGTCACAACTATCGCTTTCTCTTTTATACGAGAAACTTTGGCACGATTATGTCGGCAACTTTCAATATGTTATACACCGAAATTCATATAGACACCAAACTACATACACTCGATAGTGCACTAGTGTTCCAACCTTTTCCTCTTGGCATATTTATATCTAAGAATATATTTTTACATTTAATACTGAATGTGTGAATCGAAGTTTTCTCACGCAAGAAGCCTGTATCTTCATAGATAAATCTAAATCTATCTTCATAGACAGAACTAAATTTCTTTATTTTTCTAAAAAATTTCTAAAAACTATTATCAAAGAAGTTTAATGATAATAAGTATTCAGTTAGCATATTATATTTGTTATACAAAGCGTAAAAAAAAACTTGATTTAAAATATTTCAAAAAAAATTGTTTTCAAAAAAGCCATAAAGATAAAATACGAAACTTGTATGGATATAATCATTTTTAATTTTCTACACCATATAAAAATCGAGTATAGATGTTATTTCGGATTAAAATCCAATTTGCATATTTAGCGCTAAACATTTTCAAACGGGATTCGGCACAAAGCCACCGATTGTTTTTGTGCGAAGTAGGATGGTTAAAGCGGTTAGGGTTACTTTATGAACCTCAAGCGTAAGCTTCCTTAGCCTTTATGGTCTAGAATTAGGACGGTAATTTGTGTCCATGACATCGTACCAACGTAGACGAGTAAATTTATAGCGTGCTTGGAGATGCTCACCGCGCGGCGGACAGTTTAACACAATTGCGACTATACCTCGTTATAAAGTCAAAAAAACTTCATCTTTGTTTAATAAAAACGTCAGTTAATTGATTATATTTTTTATACTCTCTTCATCCATTTTTTTCATTGTAAAGAGAATCTAATTTAGCAATTAACTGTTTTGCATTAAGAGTTAAAGGCAATTGGCAAACTAAAATTGGCGTAGAATTGCACCAATACAAGTACTAATTTTTTGTATTACGCTTGCAAATGTTTCATTTTCTTTAAAGCTAAAGTAATTTAAGTAGTATGTATAATAATGAAAGTTGAAATTCATATTTTATTGTTTCCGTAATTAAAATAAAAATTTCAATTAAATGCTCAAAAGAAATTTAAGTATCTATCACCTAATATGACGCAGATAAAGAAATAAATAATATAAATACTACTTAATACCATTGGGACTTAGAGCTGTCAAAAATTATATAATTTTAAGTCAATATAATCAACATATATTGATATTTATCAAGTGAAACAATATTTCTCAGCGGTTTATTATCGCAATTTTAACCGAGAAAGCTGAAAATCGATATTGAATGTAACGTTTTTCGAGCTTCGCCTCGAGCGCTGGTAAAATTATTAAACTTGTCTTGGCTATAAGGTAGTTTCGCAATAATAAAACTAGTTTCCACGAGGCAGTCAATATCAATCTTGCGGCTTAACCTGTGAGGATCCAAATCTGCCTAATCCACATAATCGGTTATAATCGGTCATTTAAATCAGCTTATATCCATGGCAATGAGAGTCATTAGCGGTTTTCATAACAATTTGTAGGCGTCGTTCAAATAGTTTACTCATTTTATTTCCTAGTGGATAATTAAAGCGAATCAATAAAGAACTTTTCAAAGTAGAAAGTTATTAGGAATTTTGTACAATATACTCTCGAAATTTACAAGTCAAATATTTCAGTAACAATTTATTAGCAATAAATTGATTAAAGTTAAGGATATAATATTTGTGCAATATTATGCCAATAATTATGTTGTAAGGTTAAATTTAATTCGATAATGTTTAGCAAGTAAATGTTGTACTTAGCTGTCTCAATCGTTTTATTGAATTATTTCTATTGAATTGTAATTAATTTTAAAATTACCTTTAAATCTCCTTTTAAAGATATCAAACCTCTTTTTCATGATATAAAGAATTTATTAAAATAAAATTATTTTTTCACTAATACCACATAAATCTTTTATGTTATTTTAGACCTGACATAAACGCGATAAGAGCGTTAACTTCGGCTCAACCAGGAACAGTAAAAGGTGGTCCTGCGGCTGTTGTTAGCAGAGTTGCTGCTGAAGAACGCGAATTGCCTAGACAGGGAAGTCTAGTCGATGGGGAAGGTATCAAGATTGTTATTCATGACGTCGACAGTGATCCTGGTAAGCCTTATTACGGAAATACTTTCAAAATGATACATATGTATATCTTAATTTTTATTTAACGTTATTATCTTTTTTTCACTGGTTTATTGTTCCCTAATATTTTTCTATATTCTTCGCTGCGGAAAACATATACAGCTTACTTATATCATACGCAGAGAAAGGTTTCTTCGATTTAAAGCAATGTTTCATTGCTATACAGATAAAGAAAAAAATTTCTTTTATTTGAATGTCATTTTTTAAATTTAAACATTATTTTTTTAAATCAAATAAAAAAATTTATTCGATTTAAAGAAAATATGTATTTCGAATCGAAAAAATGACGTTTATCAAAGAATTTATCAAAGAAATTTTTTCTTTAACATTTTATAGCAAAGAAACATTTCTTTAAATCGAAGAAACTTTTCTCTGGGTGTATAAATCTACATGGGAAGAATGGTTTTGCGAAAGTATCTAAAAAAGTTAACTACAGATCTAAAAAAATAATTTCAATATGCACAATATGCCCATATGTATAAAATAAATAAATAACATTTTTATTGCAATGCTTTTTTTCAATAAGACAAATTTCTATTTTGATCTTACTTCCTAATCTGCTTTCTAAAAATATATATAATTGCATAAGAGAATCCGATGTCTAGATATCTGTAGAAATCACAGTGTCAGCTGATCCATTACAGAACACAGTTAAGTTAGTTACAGCGCTACCAACTTCGTAACTAAAAAGATAATTTTCGACACAGCTGACGGAACACAACCTAAGTTAGTTACAGCACTATCAACCTCGTAATTAAGAAGATAATTTCCGACACAGTACACAATCAAATGGTTGCTAGAATGTCAAAACTTTTTACAGTGTTATCCATCCTACATAATTACTTTGATAGTCCTACAAAATTATTTTCAGATTTGTATCTAGCTGAATTTTTATGATATTTCAGCAAAATTTTTTTTATATGTGATACTGCTATATCGCAAAATGATTTTTATATACATATTCACATACACAATGATTATCTATCTTTGTGTATCTTCGTAGAAATAAATTTCTTATTATTATTATTAGATTATGCAATAAATAAAGATACATAAGACTTACGTTTGTCTAACTTTTCGTGAATGATTTTGTGCCTTATTGAAAAAACTGGCTAAACCATATATAAACCACAGGAATGCTTTACTATGAGTGCAAATGTTAGCATTATGCAAAAAAAAGAGGAGAAAGAAAACTGCGTTTGATCGATCGAGCTGTGGGCTTGCCAAGTGGTGATTCAATTTCGCGGACAACATCAGTTTCAGTTAACTCCGAGGTTTTTGTCCTGCCAATAGTGAAATCTCGTTAATTAAAAATCGGGAATTTAATTTCGTAGGTCACCGTGAATCCGTTCTCTTGTTCGAGAGAGGTCCAGAGTGTCGAGCTCAAATATCGATTAATTTGCTACGGAAAATAACAAAACAGTCCGTGTCTTTGCATATAGTAACACATGTTAATTATTACGCGATATCCGATATCAGACATCGGCCTCGGTTTACAATTTACGCACAACTTGCTTTTAACAGAATCACTCTTCGCATAGGAGTGGTATTACAATACATAACTAAGATAAATGATAAGCGTGCGTCGATACAAAAGAATCTTCCTCGCCGCTCTATAAATGAATACAAACATAATTTTTACAAAAAAAATAATATAGTCTAAGAGAGATAAATATATCATATTTCTCGTTTATTAATCGCTAACTTTATCTAATAAATTTTCAGCGGATCTTTAAATTTGTGAACTTTTAAATGAGAAAAGAAAATGAGTTTTCTTTTTTGCATATTGACGATAAATGTATTTTTTACGATTTAAAAATTTGCAAAGAGAAAGAAATAGCCTTGTCATATGATGACAATCATTTTAATGCATGCATATAGCGAAGGATTTTTACTCGAAGAATTAAGATGAAGCGGTCGAGAGCAGTAATTTCTTTTATTTTTTTAAATATGTATATCAAATTCCACGAAGTGAAAGATAACTTAGCTTGTTGCGAATTTAAAGTTGCTTTTTTATTGTTCGAAGGAATCGAATCGTACTATAGCCTTGTCCGATATATTCCCTGCGTGGATTACTGAGCTGTATAGAAATATCTCAAAAAGCACGCTTTATATTCCTATTTTATGTTCGTTTTAACAACAAGCTTATATTACAGTAGAAAAGAAGCGCATTTAATCAATCGTACTACAATTCTTGAATATAAACATATACAAACAAATATAATTTATTGTAACAAAAAAAAAACGAAAAAACTTAATTATTTTATCTTTCAAACACAAAAATGTTATTCAATAAGATACTGCAAGGTATTATTTAAAAGCTTTCTGATCGAAGTTTAATGTTAAAAACGGATGTTTAAAATAAGATAATAATTATATAAGATAATAATTATAATTCTTATACTTAAACACTCACGATACACGTGCAGAATGATTTCTAAATATGTTTACCATTATGCAATGAGATCTGCATAGACTGCAATTTTTGCGTTAGCAGAATGATTTTATCACTAGAGATGAGAAGCTAAATAACTTAATTCAGTCACGATGCACTATCTTTTTATTATAGCTGACCTAATTTTTTAAACCTTTCTATAAAAGCGACCCATCATTTTCTCATCATATTTAATTAAAATTAAAGGAAAATTATCTTTTGAAGTTTAAACATTAATTCAATAAACATATAGACTAAATCTTTAATATATTATAATTTCATGGTATATATATATATATATATATATATATATATATATATCTTCCGACAGAAAATTCAAAATTTATTTAATTAATAATTTTGTATCTTGTATAATATTTATAATTGAATATGTCCCTCTTCTCATAATATATGATAATTTTTATTATAAAGTGTATATACGAAAATAATAGTGACTTGTATTTAACATTCAAATATTATTTCTGCTTTTGCGATTATGTGATCGTTATTTGACAACGAAATAACACGAAAAATAAAAGAAATTAATCGACGGCGATACTCTCGTCTCTTTTACGATTATAAGAAATTGACGGTCGACAGCAGATACTTGAAAGCACGCAAGAAACATTTGGATCGTTTCCAACGTTTACGGTTTTCCAAAGATATCACGAGACCGCTCGACGTAATATTTTTCTCTTCACTGACGGGTCACACCGAGTTACAGCTGCAAAAACGGACCGTTTCATTTTTCTTACCCGGCAGGCAACTCCTAGCGTAGATCCGTGCGCAATATCGATTGCAGTTGCAGCGGTTATCGCGATCTGACACGCCATGCAAGAGCTACGTGGGAATCGCGATCTGTCCACGTGTTCATTAACGACATGTCGATCGGAAGGCAGATTACGGCATCGTCCATTCCGCCGATAAACTGCGATGCAACAAACTGTGCATGAAACGAAACGAGAAACGCGAGAGAATTGCGAAAGATAGAAAGAGGAAGAGAGTAAAGCAGAGATGCGAAGCTAACATGTACCTTTCATACTAAAGTAATTGTATGTAATTTTACTATGTGTAAGCTCACCGCTGCGACGGATAACGCAGTTTGCACAGAGTCGTTTGTTAAAATCGTTAGTGGGTCACATAATTATACGTCTCGTAAGGACAGGATCTCTCTCTGAAATATTTTCTGAATTAAAGACAATTTGTAAGAACGTGATAAAAATGTATAATTATGAATACACACAAATTAAAGAATTCCAATTATTGATAATTTCATAGAATTTTTAATATAAAATAAAAACATTTCATAATTTAATTCGAAGATTTGTTTTTTGCAATGGCTTAAAACTAATTAGACTGTATTATGATCAAGTTTGTATTATATCTATCTTTCCCCCACTTTCCGTTGTAAGATTAATCGTATATAAATACGACTTAAATAGAAACAAATCGTATAAATGCTTCTTAGAAACAAATTAATAGATAAATTCTTGCTTGTTGACTTGACAAGGATTGTGAGATCTTCTAAGAAAATTAAAGTCTTGTATTCAATTTATTTAATATGTATAGCAAATTAATTTGCTTACTAATAATAAATGCGTGATAAAACGTGCAAAAAAATAAAAAGCGGAAAAATAATCGCGCATTTTCTATGCTAAATAATTACATAATATTCAAACTTGTAGCGTCGCGCTAATCTACCAATGAAATTCGCGCAGAATTGTGTTCAACGTTTTTCATTTAAAGTTGTACCGACTTGGAAAGTGCATATATACGTAATTAAATAATTTCTTTACATGTATAATGCAATTACGTTAGGAAATTTCCTGTTTGTCGGTTTTTGTACATGAATATCAAGAATATTAAATACAAATATTAAATACAAATGTAAGGATCAAATCGTAACATGCGCAAAAAGATTTGTTTAATTATTTACTCTATATATATATAT